TTGTGTATCACGAATTTGTTCCGGAGGGACAGACGGTCAATAGTAATATTTAGCCATATTGAAGATTTTGCGTAAGAACATCTGTCGGAAATGGCCGGATTTGKGCAAGAACAAATCATGGATCTCTCCCGAATTTAAAGCAAAAAACGCAATGAACTCTCTCCATCAACCAACAAGATTTGCCTCCRTGTGACTTTTTCTTGTTCCCCAAACTGAATTTGCCGCTCCGTGGAACCCTTTTCATTCGATCGAAGAAATAAAGCARAATTCGCTGAAGGAGCTGAAGGCCATTAAAAGTGTTTTGAGGACTGGAAAAATCAGTGGCATCTGGTTGGGATGACKTTGAAGGTGACAAAACAAATGTTGTTGAATAATTCAATATTATTTTGTGTTTAACTTAAAATTTTCGGGTACTTTTTTATMGCAATGTATGTAATAATATCCAAAAATTTATTAATGTGGTCTATTTGAGAAGAAGGTGAGATCACAGCAGCACTAATACAGTACTAAATCTTAAGACGATTTTGGTGGTTATTTTGTTGGCACTGATTTGTAGAAAATGGTAACAGAATGAATTTACGRTTCTTAAATCTGGTTTTTACAACCCTTTGTTATACAGTTTGTCAAAATTTTCAACTCTTTTTACTTAAAAGGAAATTAAATGCTACACGTGACGCGGAAATCGTCCTTAATTTTGTTATAAACCCACAAAAAGTTTAAATATATACACTTAACTATGATTTTTTTTAGAAAAGATGGAGAGGAAAAAAATAACATTCACCCGAACGGCAAGGCAAACAGCGTAGGCCAATGCTGAATTTTCAAGGCTGATGGTTGACCAGCAGACACGCGTACACGAGCCGCATTGTGGCAAACAAAGTGCAGAGCAACAAAAACCAAAATATAATAAGCATGAGCTGCCAATGAAGGTTTCGAAGRCCATTGAAAACAGCTGGAAATGTGTTAAGCCGCGTACACCCTCCCTTGGAAATACATATTTTATCAACAGCTGAGCGACGAACGGGCCACGACAATAATAATGACCACAATATAGGTGTGTTTGTATGTRCATACACACCAATATGTTTGCSATGCGGCCAAAGTGTGTTGAATGTTCGCTAATTGCCCTCAAATGGCAAAAGGAACGTACAAATACAAACTTAATGTATGCACACATACAGTGTGTCTACATGCGTGTACATATGTGTATAAATATGCAGAAATGCGAACTACGGCAGCGAAAAGTGTGCAAATGGGTTTATACAAATATGTATGTATGGCTTGTGTATGTTGTGGCAGGAAGTAGTCTCTGCTCGCCGTTTGCTGGCAAAAACATAACCTTTTGCAAGGACAACACCAGCAACGAACACGTTCAGGTTAAAATCCGAATCATAGGCAGTTTAGTGTGTAGTAATATGCTTAAGTACAGACCCAARTGTGATTTTTAATAATAAGAGAATGTGGGTTTATACATATGTATAGTAAGTAGATATTTCATTCAAGCTATTTAAATTAAATTGGTTAATTGAAATGTTAAATAAYAAAATTTAGGTTAAATAAGTGCAAWAATGTTTGCAAACAAATTATTTTAATGCGTTAAATTATTAATAGGGATTTCTAGAGTCCTATAATTTAATCAATTAGCAATTTCATAAATCGGTAATTGATAATCAACTTCAATTAACAAATTCACTCAATTATGTTATTGTAAAAAMTACTACTTTTTATTCATAATTAAAAAATTTCAGAAATTGCATTTCTAATTGTTGTCAATTTATCATTTGTTGAAGTAATTAACTAATTGGCATAATTAAGCGCTTCCACAAAACTGACTTCCAATTGAATAATCATGAAATTATTGAAAWTCTGCCTCTAATTGTAAGTAATTAACTAATTGACTCAATTAAGCGATTGTATAACCATTTCATTTAATTGAATAAATACGAAAAATTCTGAAATTTCACCTTTAATTGYTTTCAATTTATTATGTAATGATTGACTCAATTAATCGATTAGAAAATAACTACTTCTGATTGAATAATTGGCAAATTTCAGRAATTCCACACTTAAGTTTTCTCAACTTATTTTATAATAAAGCAAGTATTTAATTGAATAAATTAAGGGACCGTAGAAAAAATAATTACTAATATTAATTATGTAATTAACGCATTTTATTGAATTTCCAAAATATATTTTTGTCAATTTACATGTACATAMATAATTAATAATAATTAAGGAAGTTACTGATCGACTCAATTAAGCGATTGCAGAAGAAGAAGAAATTTGCGAATTTTMCAAATTTAATTTCCAATTTTTCTCAATTATTAGTATATTACMTTATTACACAAATTAATAATCGACYCAATTAAGCGACTGTTAAAAAACTGTTTTTATTGAACATTTTTTAAATTTCTGAAATTTAATCTTTAATAGTTCTCAAATTACCATACAATGGATAAATAACTAATTAATCAAAATAATCAATTAATCAACTTTTAATTGAACAATTAGCGATTTTTAAAAGTACAATTTCGAAAATAYCACTTGTAATTGTCAGCAAATGACTTAAAATCATTTTGGAAGAATCTATTTCATGCAAATCGTATGGAAATTAGTTGTTTGMCAGCTTTTTGATGTCACAAGTAGTAGCATATAACGGTGGTTTTTTTTGATCAGTACGATTGACCTCATTGGCTATGTGAGAGTGCACTTTTGACTCAAACACTCAAAAATATTTAATAAGAGGGTTAGTTGTTTAATGTTCGAACTTAATCGAAAACTTAAACAGTTACTTCAGAAGACTTTGATTATTACTACCAACTTAGTTACATGGTGGCAAATTTTCGCAACTTTCGCCCAGAATATACATGTAGGTGTTTGTATAAACCAAAACTTCGGAAGTGTCAAAATGACAATAACTTAAAATGTAAGTATGTATGTATATATTAAATGAACGCAATTCATTCGTTAAGCTTCTTAAGCATAATGGAAAAGTTTTATGTCTCATAACTATTGTACTTTTGGATGACTCAATGACAGGTTGTTAAATAGACATTCAGGTTTTCTTACGAAACAAGAACAAGCTATGACTCAATCACAAATACATATACATATGTATATACATATTAAAAATATATATACATATATAAATATGTCTGTAATTAAACAGCATGATGTGATTTAAGCCATGATTATATTACTAAGATTTATTGTTATACATGCTAACTATGCATACGAGTGGGTATATGCGTGAGTAATAAAATTTTTATATGAAAAAAATAATTACAACTGCAATTTTCGAAAATAATTCAGTGATATCACATTTTTCGTTATAAGAAAAGCGTTGAAATTAAAATTATTTTTAAGGTTAGAAAAATATTTACTGGGTGATAAAGTTTCCGTTTGCTCAACTAATCCAAATCAATTGGTACATATGAACCGTATTTTATCGAAAAAAATTAAAATTAATAATTTTATAAYRTTTAAGTTAGGTCCTTCCATGTTTTCATTTGATATAGTAGTACGGTTMAAAATATACCATATTTTTACCAGAAACTTTATACTTATAATCGACTTATTATTCCAATTTTTTTTAGATTTTTCTAATATTGGATAATTGTGTTAAAAACATTTTCATCTACTCACCAAAGGTGCGTTGCTAGTAAACAGTTTCCGAATTTTCACTTATATTTCCGCTCTCTCTCTGTCTCGAACTCTTTACTTTAGTGCAGATTACAGCATATAATTGATTATTATTGCTGTACTTCGGCACTTCTGCAATGGCGTCTCAATCCCTTTCGCTTTCGATCCGTCGACGGCGGTTGTCAAGTCCTTCAAAGACCTTTCAACCTCAAAAAACAATTACAGCTTTTTTATTGCGCATTTTTATGGATAAACGCTTTGGTTATCTGCAATGAAAATAGAGAGAATGAAATCAAAATTAGACATTATGCAGAGTTGCTTATTATATTTGGAAAGAAAAAACAACTAATTTTTTGCTTAATTTAATAAAAAAGTTTATTATGAAGGAGTATTTAGATACTGAACAGTTAATTATATCCTAGTGTAACTATGCTGGTTAGAACTATTTGAATATTTCATGTCTCCCGTTTCCATACTCTTAATAAAGAATTTCAAAACTAGGTTTTTTTTAAATTTTTTTTCATTAACCTGACATAACCTCTAAAGGTGCTATGAGATATATAAATAGCATGCAATATATAAAACTGAGTGCCTAATGTACTATTTATATACTCCTCATAGCACATAAGTAGTACTATAATACAAAAAACATTATGTGACTATCCAACGGTTGAAGCTACTCCAACCTAACCTAACTTTTTTATTAGCTCCTAAACCATTGAAAATCACTGAAATTATTTACAAATCTACTAAAGTATCACGGCCAATTGCCATGCGACGCTCCAAAACAACTAAATGAAGAAAATCAAATCAAAGCTCCGTTGTTAGGGTAAATATTTATTGCAAATAACAAAAGCTCATTTAGCTTATTGTGCACAAAAATTAGACTAATGCTAGAAAAAACTGCATCATCATCTACTTTTACGCATGAAATTAGCGACTGGAAGCCGAGGTCATCAAATTGAGGTCGATTTATTTTATTTGGCACAATTAGAAAGGCACAAAGAGGCAAGCAAAAAAGCAAAGCTCAACTAGAAGACACAATAAAAAGCAGAGGCGCTGTAGGCGCAATAGCKAGCAAATAAAAAACAGACTTTGTGTAACTTATGCATGTAATACTGCATGAATGTATGTATGTGTATGTGTTGGTGAGCAATTGCATTTTATAGTTCTTCCTCATAGTTTTTGATTGCCGCTGGTGAATGCGATAAAAGTGAGGAAAAGGCAGCAATTTTCACGGCATCGAAAAGGTTGCAAGAACTGCACGCAAACAGCCGTGTACTGTTGTTGTTGTTGTACACAGTCAAGTAGTGAATGGCAAATTTGCTGAATTACGATGACCGACAGGCAGACTGATTATGCGAAAAAAACCCCGTAAGTCGGCTATTACACGAAGCAACTTTTGTTGCGGCAACTCTTGGTTTATAGGCGAGGGGCGACGAGGAGAGGCGAATCGCGCCGAGTTTCCAGTGTTCAGCAACTCGCTTTGTGATCTTATTCGTAACAGTTCGCTGCGACATTTTTCTGCATTCGTGTTCTTTCTTTCGTAGTACATCGTTGCATTTGCGTATATTATTTTGAAATTAATATTTTGAATATTGTATTTAAAAAAATTAATTTCATCTTTTGGTACGTAATTTGCAAATATGTATACAAATATACATAATATAATATAAATATTTTAGAAAATGGAGTATGACGAAAAAATCGAATTAATTAAAGATATTGTGAAATGTATGGAGGGAGCCATACAAATTGATTCAGACGATAGTGAAGATCTGTTATATAACCTTTGTTTTAATTTTGAATTATAAATAAAATGTATTTCTTAATTAACAGAACTGATTAATATATGTGATAGAGTGGCCCAAATACATATAAGGAAAAAGAAACGACAATGGGTTAAAATAAAGAGTTGACAATGGGTTAAAGTAAAGTGAAAGAGAATAATGCGCGGAACACAATGCTCGCGAAAGACTGCAGCAGCACGACAGTGAACTGAAAACGGCGTTGTGAATCCTACTACATGAACGTTTGTGAGAGGGCAGCAACATAACAATGGCCGTAATGTACACAAAACAACCCAGTTGTCCATTTTGCATGCACACAMTTTCGTTGTGGCCATACTAATACCTTGCACTTCAATGAAATTTTAATATTTTATTCAAAGTGAAATTTTAAAGCAAAAAATAAGTAAGTAGGTAAATTTGTTTGTTTTAAATTATCAAATGTTATTATAAATGATGTAACAGAGCTATTTATGCTTTTATTTGTAAAATAACGTCAAGTTTGTTAGAGCTGTGAATAATTTTACATTTTACATATTAGTGGCATAACCACTTTACCTCATCTCTCTATCTTCCATTCTACTGTCAACTCTACAGTCGTCCTACTGTCGTTGGCAAATATAGGATCAAATTGAAGTTAGCGAGAACGACAACTGTCGGCCTTCAGTCGTGTAGTCGTGCAGCTRTCAAAATAGGTCCGTCCATAAGAACGTGTGTATTTTAATATTTGACAGATGTCGTTTGCAGTCTGTCGCGAGCATTGTATTCCACATATGAGAAAAAAAACTCGAACAGAGTTGCGCAACACAAGTTGCTTGTGTGAATGCAATGGGAAACAGCAAAAAAAGAATCGCCCGAGAATCAGCAACAAAAGTTGCTTCGTGTAATAGCCGACTTAACTGCATTTAAGCGTGTTAATTCCAACAATACTGTGAGGACAGCACATCACCGCTGCCTTTTGTATGTGTGTATATGTGTGTGTGGTGTGTACGTGCCACAAAAAGCCAAGCAAGACGAAAATGAAACGTAAAAAAGTCAATAAAAAAGTTACGAAGCAAAACATGCACAAAACAAATTATGGCAAATGCCTTGTGCAACGCTCAATTTGGTCACTGCCACATGGCGCAAAGCGGCAACAACAATTGCCAGTTGCAACAATGGCTAACGCTGTTTACAAAAGTTTGATTTTTGATTAGTTTTTTTGTTTTTTGGTATAACCAGGTCTGTAAAATAGACTTAATTTGTACATGGACTATGCCTAAGTCTAAGCATATGTTGGCAGTTTGTTTTAACAGCAGCAACAACAACGTTTGTTGTTGGTTCTAATATTAACTGCAGCGCTTGAAAGCAGTTAAATTGTTTTTTTGTTGTTGGTATTGTAATATACTTGAATTGAACAATAAGTGAAAACAACTTATTTTTCCATTTTGTTTATTTTTTGTTGTTGTTGTTTATTATTGTTCGAATTTTCAATGAAAGTTGTTCAATAAGCGAAGCAGAGAGGGTAGTTGCTCTGAAACAGACAAAAAGTACGGTACCAGTGGAGAGGAGAGAAGACAAGGAGGGCCGTTCTCACGACAGTCGGATCTACGTAACAGGAACGGACCCCCATTTTTATCCCGCCAGGAATTGTACACTCGGCAGCACTCTTCCAAATTACTGCTATKTTCTGCGGCACTGACCTTCTGCATGACATTTTTACTCATGTACAAACACTCTGAACAAATTTCTTTTCAGCTACGAAAAAACACAAACATTGTCGAGATTACGGTCGAACATCGTAAAGCCCTTAATGAAAGTGAATATTAGATAGCTCTTAGGAACAACTTTAAGTAACTCAATAACAAAGCACTCATTCTTCGAGTCTTACTTAAGTCGAAGTATTTATTAGAAAATTGGAATCTATAGACTCTTTCAGAATATCTAGTTAATTTCGGTCTGCCATCTTGGAATAATAACCGATTTATTTATTGAGGCTAATATTCTTTTAGAGTTTTTGTAGCACAAAATATTCCCCAAATGCTGTTGAAGTAACAGACCTTGGGAGGATATTAATCAAGCTCTATTTTGATTAATAAGACTAATACTAATACGGATCAACTAATTTTTGGAACGCCGTTCGATCGATTGTTGGATAGTGTCATAAATCCACGTCTCGTCACTAGAAAAGATGCKTTTGATGAATATCAATATCTCAGCTACGCTATTAAGCATCATTTTGGCAACCTTTACTCAACGTCATTTTCGCGAATGATTCAAGACTTTTGGTTCGAGTCTAGCATGTTCTCCTTCCATCTTGAAACATTAACCTAAATGTGYTGAGTCGATCTAGAAGATGTTTTGGGATCCTTTGCTATCTTTCGGTTGCCAACGTTGGTTCTCAAGCAATGTTTGTTTAATTACGCGCATGAGGCAAGATTTCAATGACTTCACAGCCTGCACTTAATATTTTGTGCCACTCAAATACTTGTGCTCGTGATAAAGTAGACTCCTCAAAACATCTCTGCAGCATTTTTAACGAATCTGTCATATTCATTTCATTGGAAATATAAAGTTTCAGGCAAACTCGTTGTTAATTTTTTTGGTACTAATCGCTTCATAAAGGAACAGCAACCAAACTTACACTAATTGACTTTTGGAAATCAGGAACGTAAAAACAAGATTGAACCAATCAAGAAAACATGTTTTATTGTTTCGGAAAGAAACAGTCTGGTTCAAATTTGATCTGATTATAATTCACTTTTTTATGTATTTTGATTCGGAATCAGTTTAAGAATAGCAAAATAAATATTTTAAATCATACATTTATGTAAAGGTAATTCCAGAATTATTTTGAATACAGCTCTATTTGATTCCGAATTTTCGCTTAGTATGCGGAAAGAAGTAAAGAATTTTTTGAATATTTTCAAATATGCCAGTTACTAAACAAAAAAAACCGAAACCATTTATAACGGAATAAGGTCGAAGAATTTCAGAATATATTTTATTTTTTTTGAACTGTTTTTAAATTATGGCACTAAACCTTTCTATCATAACAATTTTATCCGAAATTTTTAAAGCCATTTAAGTACATATTTAAATATAATATTAGTCCGTCATAAAAATTTATGGAAATTAAGATCTTATAATAATTACAATCAGTCACTAATCGTTCACATCATTCATACGTATATATGTATGTATGTTGTGCTCTCTAATAACATAATTTAATCTGATTTAATGTGCTTTTGCGATGCTACATATCGTTTGCTCGTTAATTGCTAGGAAGCCAGCTTTAACTGGCTTCGGTGTGGTGAAGCCACCGGTGTTGCAATCAACAGACATACATAGTGGACACATCACTGAAGCATAAATAAAGCCAACAAACAACACATTTGTAACGCTTTTGTAAGCAACAAATGGGTGAACAAAACAACRACAAAACCAGCAACAAAATATGAATAAAAATTGACGAGGCAACAACTGAATTGGAGCAGTTA